GGGGTAATATGATCATATTTTTTTGACCTGGTAAGGACTCTAGCCGCTGCATTTTTGACTATCTGTAGCTTGTTTATTGAAGATGCAGGACAACCACCTAGCAGTGCATTACAGTAGTCCAGTCTAGAGGTCATGAATGCATGAACTAGCTTTTCTGCATCAGAAACAGGTATCATGTTTCGTAACTTGGCAATGTTTCTAAGATGGAAGAATGCCTTTTTTGTAACATGGGAAATATGATTTTCAAAAGACAAGTTGCTGTCTAATATAACACCCAGATTTTTGACTGTAGAGGAGGTAACCGTGCATCCGTCTAGTTGCAAATTGTAATCCACGAGATTCGTTGTACTGTCTTTTGGTCCAATAAGTAATATCTCGGTCTTATCCGAATTTAATAGGAGAAAATTATTGGCCATGCAAACGTTTACATTTTTAACACACTCTGTTAGCTTAGATAATTTAGAAGTTTCATCTGGTCTTGTTGAGATATATAGTTGAGTATCATCGGCATAACAGTGGAAACTAATCCCGTATTTCCTAATAATATTACCAAGTGGCAACATGTATATCGAAAATAGCAGAGGACCTAGGACAGATCCTTGTGGCACTCCATATTTTTCTGGTGATAATTGAGATGACTCCCCATTTAAATGAACAAGGTGGTAGCGATCGGACAGGTAGGATCTAAACCATCTTAAAGCCTGCCCTTGAATACCTGTATAGTTTTGTAATCGATCTATCTATGTCATGATCTATAGTGTTGAATGCAGCACTAAGATAAAGTTAAACTAGCAATGAGATGCAGCGTTGGTCTGATGCAAATTTTAACAAGTGCAGTTTCTGTGCTATGGTGGGGCCTGAAACCTGACTGGTGGGTACAGGATCTAATAGGCATGTTGTTGGTTTAGATGCAGTTATAAGTTTATTTAGCTCTTCCTGTCCTATAGTTGTAAAGCACTGCATTTTATCTTTTGGTGCGATGAATGAAGCTGAAGTATTATACGCTGTAGAATCTACATTTGTTATTGTATTTCTGATGTTATCTATTTTATCAGTGAAGAAATTCATAAAGTCATTACTATTAAACTGTGAGGGAATATTTAGATCGGGTGGCGTCTGGTTATTTGTTAATCTAGCCACTGTGCTAAATAAAGACCTTGGATCATGCTGCGTTCGACACTATTGACCACAACATTCTTTTGCATAGACTAGAAAACTTTATTGGCATTAGTGGAAGTGCATTAGCATGGTTCAAATCATACTTATCTGACCGCCATGAATTCGTAGCAGTGAATGAAGAGGTATCATATCGAAGTGCAGTATGGAGTAGATATCATCAAGAAACACGGTGTTAGCTTTCACTGTTATGCTGATGATACTCAGCTCTATATTTCTTTGCGGCCCGGCGAAACACACCAATTTGAATGCATAGTCGATATAAAAAACTGGATGACGAGCAATTTCTTACTGCTAAATTCGGAAAAAACAGAGGTGTTAATTATAGGACTAGAAATGTTAATTCATGCGTTCATGACCTCAAGGTTAGATTATTGTAATGATTTGCGTGGTTGTTCTACAGATGTGAATACACCCTAGGTCAACTGGAACCAGGAACACTAAACATAACACCCGATGCTTGCTACATCGTTAGAAGAATGGCATCTACGCTAATATTAGTCTGTTTCTTT